ATCTATGCCCAGTGTAAACAAATTAAATATTCATTGTGTTCATGATTTGCCGTATTGTTAAATATCACTGGGATAAATTTTGCTAGTATTTACTATAGTAAATCAATCTAGGCAACTTTGAGCTAAATTCACGAAATGGAAAAAATAAAAGATGAAACAGTAGCTATTTACAATTAAAAGATGGCGGATTTGTCGTAGTATTATGGCCAGCCAATAACGGGGACAGCTCGCCGACGGTCAGATACCTAGCTGACCCTCGCGCACACGGCGGGCCGCTGTACAAGTACGAGTAAGCGCACACACAGGTACCCCAGCATGAGTGTGTGCACGTGTAAGCAAGTGCACACTCACAAGCTGGCTTGCGCGTGTGCGGTTGATGACACATGTAATCAGATTTATGCGTATAATGTATGATAGCACATATATATAAGCTGTCACGATAACACGCGTAATTCTTTGAACAAAAGACATGTAGATTCATTTTTTTTTTTTTTTTTTTTTANTTTTTTTTTTTTTTTTTTTTTTTTTTATGTATAAATATATTTTATTTAGTAGAAAGAGAAAATAGTAATTTACATTAAGTAGCAATGTAGCATATTGTTTTAGGCTGTATATAAGAAAACTGCCGTTAGGCATTACTTCACGGGGGTGGAGGGATTGGCATTATGCGCTTCATGAAGGCTTGGATGGGGTGGCGTCTTCTTCCAGCCGCATCGTCCGGTCATCCCCTTCTGTCCATTTCTTCGTCTCTCAGTCTTATAACGACTGAGTGGGCGAAGGAAGCAACCGCAAGCGTTCGGCTCGCTAGCGAGCATGAGCCTGGTGGTGTTTTCCGGCGTCATGACCTCGTGAAGCAGAGTCTGTAGTCTCTCTCTTTCTTCGCTGAACCTCGGGCAGTGATAGAATACGTGCTCTGCGTTCTCGATGGATGAAGAGCAAACCGGGCATTGCGCGCTTTGACTATGATCGTAGCGTCGGCTATGGTGTTTAAAGAAGCCATGCCCGGTCAAGAGTTGCGTGAGGTGGTAGTTCAACTCTCCGTGCCTCCTCTCGATCCACACTCTGATGTTTGGGATCAGTCGGCGGCGGCCGTAGATCCGCGCTCGCTCGTCCACGAGAAGAGCCAGCGGTGGAATGCCGGCAAGGACATATGTGGCCTTGTAAAAGACATGCGGCCAGCCTCCGATCACAAGTTGGTAGGCTCATCGGTGGGCTGACTCCGCCTGGCGAATGTAGGCTCGTTTTTGTGCGACTGTGCTCCAAATGGGGGCTCCATACAGGAGTATGGAGTCAACAACTTGGGCATACAGCTTACGTCAGCTCATGTAGATTCATAGAAGACCACATGTGTACTTACGTCACCTACAACAGCTCAAGATAAGCTATGACCGAAGCAATAACAGACTAAAAGCTGAAGCAAATACGAAAAGTGCCGATCGGACACTGACAAAGATTATAGGCCCTAGGAAGCAAAGTGCAATTGCAGGCACGGGCAAACGAATATATGAACTGGTATACCTTAAGTATCTCGCGGGTTTTATCGGCATGCGCTGATTGATTAGAGACCAAGTCAACGCAATCAACTGGACATGGTATATGGCACTTAGCGGGCCTCTCGTGAGAGCCTCGCGGGCCAGAGTGAGATGTCACTTTACTGAATATATGAAGCAGTTCATTGGGTCAGGGGGCACGGCAGATTCGTCAAAAAATCTAGTGTATATAATATCGACACTAAGTCAAATTCGCAGTCGGTCTGATCACGTTGATCACTTGTTATATTGATTATGTGTGTTCATGAGCAGTGAAAACGAAAGCGAGATGTGTGCAAGTGTCAGGCGTAGTTCAGTGCTTTTCGATCATTCATTTCTTCTCCTTTGCACCCAGCCCTTTGAGACAAAAGTTAAAGTAGAGTCTTAGTAAAGTCAAATAAAAGTAAATTCGCGCTTAAGTTCACAATATCGCACGCTGTGCTAGTGCGCATATGTTCAGCAAAAATAATCGTCGGCATGTATAATGAGTCAACTAAGAAACGAGTTCTATTGAAGTCACCCTTTGAAAATTTGTTTTCTCTTATTTTGGACATTCTGATCCTCCCATACAGCCTTATACTATATATATTTTTCAATAAGTCAATTTTAAAACAGTTAAAATCAACGAGAAGAATTGAGCGAGCACCGCTCGCAGGAACGCGCAGAGGTCATCATTTTTTCGATCGACAGATGCGCGAGTGCACCATTAAACTCTAACTACTTAATATCTAGATATTTATTATGCAAGGATCGGTCAAATCCTGGAAAGTCTCATGATCGCATAAAAGCGCGAATAAAAGGTATGTTGCATAAGACTCTCGAGGAAAAGTCGTAAAAAAGACCAGTCCTCCGTCACGTGCACAGGACATGGTGAAGACAAATCACGGGAAATAGTAATCAATTTTCAACGGTCAAGCCGCCCCCTCGGAATTGTGGCATAACAGCATCAGAGGTGGGATAGAACACCAAGGGGCATATAAAAGGCCCAAAAATGAGAGGAGCTCGCTCTGTTGTACGACCAATTTCGTAAAGAGCGTATCGCATAGCTTGCGGCAACCAAACTAAAACGATATGAAACTATCTCTGAATCTTCATTTCCCATCTCCAAATCGACTTCCCCCGATAAACAATAAGTAAGTAAACAACAAAAGTACAACAAACAGCCAATGTTGATATGAAGTACAACAGGGTATCTGAAACAGCAACCGACAGCTTCGTATAACATTTACCCCATATAATTAACAGAACAATTTACAACAATAATTTACAACAATATATTAAAATAAATACAACATCATACAAATGTAAGTACAATGTTCGAGAACTTTCGGATGTCGGTTGGGAAACTATAAAAAGACAGAGAGACAAAATATCATACCTTTGCCACCGATAGATAATTAGACCAATCTCAGCTCTCAAAGAGCAATAAAATCAAAGCCACCGAAAGTTAGAGAAGACCAAGTCACCTCTAGACACAGACTTCTCTGCCTATTCGAGCTCCAGCAGCCTACCAGTGCAGTCACATTTAATTTGTGCCCCGCGAGTGTTAAAGTACAGTGCTCTCTGTCCAACTCCAGGTTCCACAACCGTAGTCCAGTTCGCAGCTGTACAAAGAAATACTACAATGTAAGTTCAACGCATCCATTATAAATAAATTCTCTCATCTTTCTGTAATTCAACCTCTAGTCATTACTATCCACCTGGAACATGCCCTGCCATATATAAACACTATTTTTTCCTAATGTTATCGCTGCTCACCGAGCAATAAATGGGAAACCATTTTGCTCGGCCTAAAGTGACCCTTTTCCTTACACATACATCGCTCGCAAGTCGCCGGTCCTCACCTGACCTCTCGGGTTTCGTCTCCTTGTAGACGTGGCACGAAAAAAGGCTGGACGCGTTATCCGAGGCCATGTTTAACTTCATTTCACAACCCTAAGTCCCTTCAGGACATTACAAAAAAACTACTGCCATGAATAGTCCTCTTTTGTTACCACTCCTTCTCAGCAACAAGGGTAAAAATAACTAATCTTTACTTGTTATAATGCCGCTATCAGCGTATGTAACAGTCGCCTTAAATACAATTTATTGTAAATGTCACAAACGGAAAATACAAAAAGGGTAAGACCTTCTAAATGTGTAAGACCTTCTAAAAATAAGACTATTTAAATATTAAAACTTACCATATTACCAACCACTACCTAAGGCTCCCGATAAGTTATGTGACAAAAAAAACATTTTCACGAAAATCCTTAATTGCTAAATATGAACAATTTTACATGGACCAAGCAAATGTAATTTCTGCTATCCTCTGTACTTTCACATAAGCTTCGATTAAACCGTAGGGGTTGCTTTCATTAACAACTACTACAATTTGCGCTACCATGGGTATCAATGGATCTGCTACAACATTTTCATGCCCTGGAAAATCATCCCGCAAACCAAGTTCATTATCGATACTTTCATTCATGGGGAAATTGTTTTCTTATCTAGGAAGTGTAATAGGCCGTTCGATTCCCTTTCGACGAAGAACGTTATTAGCAGCGCAACAGATACGATTATATTACTTCCAGACCCTTATAAATTATTTTACAAACCAAGTTCATCATCATCGATATTTTCATTCCTACGGATATTGTTTTCTTGTTCAGTAGATATGATAGAGCGTCCTCTTTTCGACTGTGTATTTTCCTCTTCTGAATCCGTTTGATTGTGATGAATTTGTGTTGACTCTTCATCAGATGAAAAATCGGGTACATAACATATTTTTTTTCGTTTTTTTTTTCATTAGCACTCTTAACAAATGTTTCACAGTTAATTTTCACACAAACGACACAAATTTCACACAATGACTTTCACTAAATCAATACTTATTAAATTATTTCACTAGATACACACTAAAAAACAACAATAAAAAAAACCAAAAAATGTTTGCAGATTTATCATAGACGATATAAAAATTAATGTGAAATCAAAAGATTTAAGTTCAAGTTAGGATTCAGTCATGTTGCCCGAGGTTTGGTCCGTAACCATTTATACTCTGAAGTAATGCAAACCACTTAGAGGATGTAGCTTAATCGGTTCGTTCTAAATATCATGAGCAGTGGACAAAAACATGATTAGACAGATTCAATGCAAAGAGGAAACAAATCCTTTCCAAAAGCTAAATGAAAAACTATCTGTCCCCCATTTAAAATCAGTTTAAAATCACGTAAGCAAGTCTCGAAAATATAGAAATATAATTCAAAGCTTCTTAATTTTAAATATTATTTTGAAAGTATTTTAATATTCAGGAAACATCTTATCAACATAGCTGTAAGCCATATTTAATTTTCCTGAGTCCTTGAGGATATATTTGTTAGCATGCTGCGAATAATTTTTTGTGTGAAATAAAGTGTAATATAATATAAAAAATATCATTTTTTGTTGTTTTCTTTACATATTACTAAAATGATCTATGCATTATTTCAGAAAATTCAATCACCATTTTTGGCAGCAATGCAAATGACGTTACATGACCGTTACACCGATAACGTAGAAAATATATATAAACTTACCATACAATTCATCATTCAAACATTGATTGATGGTTATAATGAAGCAACTAAAACAAAAGATAAAGAAAAAAATGGACCTTCTTAGATATTTTGAATCGAAAGCAGTTATATCGAAATATTTCATACAAAATTAACGAACATTTTCGTTCATGATATTTTAAAATTTTTTTATTATATCTTTAAAAAATCACTATACCATCAAAATATCATGTTCATAGTTATTATGTAACTTTTGAGCAATGTTAGTCTCGGAATTCCGAATTATCCTTAAAACTTTAATTTTTAATTGTAACCTACTTCAAGAACTTCAAGAAGAGAATGTAATAATGAATATTTAGCTTAGACAAATTTCTAATGAATGTAACATTCAGTATTAAGATTGAATTAAAAAAATTATGTGTCAAAAATATTTTCAATCAAATTTCATTGAGTTCACTATATAACAAACTGTTGATTCATACATGTAACAATCAGTAAGACAAAAATTAGACAAATATTTTCATTTTTTTTTAAGTTTCACTTGGGTATATTATTTATTACAATTTAAATATATAGTCTTCAGTCGAAAAGATTAAGTTAATAAAGAAGGTCCCAGACTGGAATAATTGAATGGATATCTCACATAGTTATCGGTACAATTTTGCTTCCTCATCGACGAAGTCCTCTAACATTGACTTTTGTCAATTGGTGCATCTCATATATTCTGACTATATATTCATAAAAACTAGATCAAATTTGTGACTGATGTCTGTATGTATGTGCTAACGTCTGATATGCGTAACTGCGTTTAGCGCGCAGCTTTGTCGGTTGGAAGAAAACCTAAAAAATGTTCAGTTCATTGCAAGATCCGCACAGAGCATTACCTCTACTAATTAACCTTCAATGAAAAGTTTAAATAGAAATATTATTAAATCTATCCTCTCATTATTTTATATATTTGGTGACCCTTCATTCCGTTTATCGTTTCTTACTTTTTTTGCTATTCCTAATCATCATGATTTTGAACAGCGAAGATGACAATCAAGGCCAGCTCCTCAAATAATAGCGCCAGTTACTTAACACGGATCGGCGAAAAACCCTCACGAAGAGGAGTTTGGTGATCGCAAACCTTCCCTGTACTTTCGATAGCTTCGCTCTCTAGCTAATACTACGATCGCACAGGGTAATCTTCTGCGGCAGTTCTGAATGCAGCGACTTCTGTCGCATATTCGCAAGATTCTCTCAAACTAATATAACCTTATGCTGAATAAGCTTGCCGATCTACAGATAAAATTTTTGAGGTACGTTCACCGGCATAAAAGGCCACCGTAAGTCCTGAGGACCATTTGCTTCAAGCAATTTCAAAGACACGGTTATTAAGCTTTGTTCTTCTCGTTCCCGATTATTTTCTCAAGAAAAATCTTCTCACAATTCTCATCAAAAGGATCTACTCTAAATTATAGTAAGAAAATATCAAATGCATTGTACTGGTATCACGCTAAGTTCGACGACACAGCCCATAAATCCATAAGTAAATTTGAAATTACACGGAAAATGAATAAAACCGTCCGTGAGAACGACATCAAATTGCACTCTTTCTATTTACGTAACGTCCATTGATTGATAAATTTTTAAAATTTGACACTAGGTTAGATTTGTGTTTTTTCCACGTTTCTTACTATCGAATAGTCCCGTACCAGTCAATTATAATTTAAAATACCATCCAAATGGCAACCACTTGAAACTTTACGGATTTTGAGCTTTGAATTTTGGGCTTTGTGGTATATGCTTTTAGGTCTTCTCATAGTTGCTGAAGTAGATGTACCAATCATTAGATCGGATTTTTCGGCTCTCTATCTCTTATCTGATTTCAGAACCAAAGAAATTCTTATACCGGGTTTCACGCACAAGGAATTTTGAAGGTTTTGTTGAAAAGCAACGTCAAACCTTCTTTGGGGCTGCTTCATTGTAAAACATCACTAAATTGAGATTCAGAAAAATAATCCACGAGATGTCAATAAAAATCACTATGATATGGTAGAATGGCATTTGTTGCTTGACACAATAGAGTTTTACTTGCAAGGCTCATCGTGCGTAACGTCCGCAATTCGCTCTGAGCGTTTGAGCGGAGCTTAGAGTGGTGCTGCAGTCACCATTTACACGTAATCTTATGGAAAATTGGACCCGTCCCGTCAAAAATGCTAGCGTCAATCGCTCGAACTAAATTTTTTCTTATAAAAATTAACACGAGAAAGTGCCAGGCTGTGCTAACGCTCAGAACCCATACGCAGCCTTTTTTTATATATTAGAGTGTTTGTGACCTCGTGTGAAGTATAAACTTAATTAATCTTAATTAATCTTTATTTTCTAAAATCACAAACATAATAACATGAGTGCGTAGTAATGCAATAATAATAACAATACAAACGTCTCTAATAATAATAAGAATAATAATACAGAACTTCATAGCACTATGAAAACAATAATAACATGAATAGTTCCATAATAATAGAAGAGATAATACAGGGTTCTATACGTTCAAGCCACACTCTTACAAGAAACTACACAGCAACCAGCACGCCTCGATGTTGGGTCGCGCAATAAGCGATTTCACATTTAGTGGACGTTGCTGGCCTATTACTTTGAGGTTGTCGAACAACTGGAGCCTCTGGACTTGGTACAATTCGCAGCTTCAGACTACATGGTTGAGTTCCTTTTCGAAATTACCACACTTACTGGTTTGGTCCGCAATAATATCTCGGGGTTTAGTACTGTGACGAGAATCTGGATAAGATCTCGTCTTTCTCTCCCCCACAAAGCCATAATATAACTTGTACTCATACATGAGTTTATTGTGGCAGGTGCAGAATCACGACCACGGCAAACCACAAGGAAAGAGAGAGAGATTTTAGAATCACGCGCGCGTCGGAGACTGCGCGAAACGCGAGCGCGCCGGGAGAAAAACAAAAGAAGCAGCGAGCTACGAATCGGCAATTAGTACAGTTTGGGCCAGCTTGTAAGCAAGTCGCGCTTGCACGATAAATAAAAGAAATTCGAATTAACGAACGGTAGCCCGCTGTAGTCGCGTCGCGTCGTATCGCGCCGCGTAGATCGAGTGAGTGCAACGAGTGCATTGTAAGCGAGTGTGTGTGTGCGCCCTGCAATCCAGCGTCGTGGATGGGCCGCGGAATCGCAACCGGAGCAACTGCATGTAAGTGCCAGTTTCATATCGACATCTCTCTCTCTTTGCATTGCGACTCGCGTTCGCTGGTTTAAGCGAACACTCGCGCGTGCCGTGGTACTGCACCTCGTTGCCGTCCTGAGCACGGCTGTACTCCACTCCAATTATTAATAATAATTTATCTTATTTGTTACACCTAATTCACCCGATTTACTTTTGTTTGCCTTTCCCTTCTTACTCCTACTTCTTTAGGTAACTCGGACCCGGTCGCTAGCGCGACCGACGCAAATATTAATTACCCTTTCCCCCTGTAACCTGCACCGTTACAGTACATAAATAAAATTCTTGGCAAATCTATAACAGTTGAATGTGTTTTCGACGTCATAAAGCTAAATAATGAATATAATTTTAGGTGCTTCAGGTACATTTTTTTTTCAATTCCTATTATTCATCTTTTTAACAGTTAGGAAAATGCCAAATGGCCTACCAGGGAAGTAAAACCGAAGTGCACACAGTCTCAATAGCGCCAATAATAATGGTTATTTTTTGGCCATTTTGATGCTCGTGGCAAAATACAATCCAACTTTGAAAAGTCATATTGACCAATGCATAGACACCAGCGAGAATAAAAAGTTTTTGAAACCATTAGGCAGAATTGCGGGAGGTAATGTAGTTACGATGATTTCTAAGACTACGGTCAATAATCTAATTCCTCACTTAAAATAATGATGGACCTGAAAGTGAAGCCAATCTATTCTGCCTCTGATTGGTCGACTGACTTTTGACTCGAGTCGAAACGTAATAAAGTGACATCTACGGTCAAAATAACAACTTTTTCGAAACTGACTAAAAAATGTACGCGCGCGAAGCGCGCCTGAAAGTTGCTAGTATTTTAAATGTGATCAACAATTTGATGAAGTTGATCATAGACATAAAAGTTTATGATTCAGAAATGTTTTGAATTCAAATAAACAGCTCAAAAGACGTAACTGCAAGAGACCGATGCTTAATAATAATTATATATATTATGCACTTCGATCAACCGTGTGAAAGTTTATTGTGCATTGTGCAATGCTAAGATTTATCAGAAGAGGGTATCAACGGTATTGTGATTCATAAGGTAGAATCAAACAATATTAATGAGAAAAATTGTATCTGAAGTTCTACTGGTGAAGTCTCTAATATGAGAGGGGAGGATAAAGGTTTTCAAGCTTGGGTTGCCAGTGTAATACCCTCATCTGTGCATACGTGGTTCTGGTGAGAAGTCTTACGTAAGGATTGACGTATCGAAATCAGTTTTATAAAACAAAGATCGAAAAAGATTAAATTTGATCAACGAAACAAGGCGGTGGGCCAAAGATGTAGCACTAATAACAATTTCTTGTCCCAGTGTAGATAAAAAAAAATCGTTATTTGTAAAGCTACTCGCTCGTGGGCCAAAGCTTACAGAGATGCTCTTTTAAAATATCAACAGGATTTGTTTCATGGATAATATTCAATCAAACAAAACACTTATCGAATTGCTTACAAACAAATGGTTTGAATATTTTATAAGCTTATAGAATACTTAGATTGACCATAAAAAATTTAAAGAAAATTCGCCATGGACCTGAGCGCCGAGCACGTCGATGTACTCAGCATTGCCTAACTGAACGGCCCAGAGCATAGCAAAGAGCGGTCTTGTTCAGTACATTAATCCTTGTGAAATTTACGCTTTAATATTTGTAACACTGCCACCAAAAAACTAAGTATCTTATTACTATCTACATAAACCAAGTGTTTTGATTTCCTAATAAATTACGAAGTCGAAGTACGAAGTTTCTCAGCTTACTTTATGCAGTTAAAGCATAAAAGAGATAGTGAAATAATCGTGAGTATCGCTGTACGGTTTTCACCTTTGGCAAAATCCAACTGAAGTACACCGA